CATGTGAAAAACATGTTAATTTGACCCGTCCTCACACTACATGTGAAAAACATGTTAATTTGACCCGTCCTCACACTACATGTGAAAAACATGTTAATTGACCCGTCCTCACACTACATGTGAAAAACATGTTAATTTACCCGTCCTCAACACTACCATGTGAAAAACATGTATAAGTTGACCCGTCCTCACACTACATGTGAAAAACATGTTAATTTGACCCGTCCTCACACTACATGTGAAAAACATGTTAATTTGACCCGTCCTCACACTACATGTGAAAAACATGTTAATTTGACCCGTCCTCACACTACATGTGAAAAACATGTTAATTTGACCCGTCCTCACACTACATGTGAAAAACATGTTAAGTTGACCCGTCCTCACACTACATGTGAAAAACATGTTAATTTGACCCGTCCTCACACTACATGTGAAAAACATGTTAATTTGACCCGTCCTCACACTACATGTGAAAAAAATGCTAATTTCAATGGCTGGGTTACCAGATACTGAACTGCCAAGTGTCACTCTTCTTCTTTATTTCCCCTACTTGTAGTTAAATATACGATTCTATAGGCTTATATAACCTACCCTAACCTGCCACATAAATATACGATTCTATAGGGTAGGGGTCGTTTTGATAAGGGCCTGCCTTGTATGGGCCAGTAGGCCTTCTGCAGTGATCCTACATTCTTATGTTATATAACCTACCCTAACATGCCATATAAATATGCGATTCTATAGACTTACATAACCTACCTTATCCAGCCAAATAAACAATGTTAATTAACCTAACCTTAAAGAATTTTGTTATGCGCAGGAAACGTTCAGAATTTGACGTTGTGTAATGTGTAAGAAAAAATTACACAGAATGAGAAAAACTGATCGATGAAAATCTTTGGAAAACCAAAGAATTTAATACCATCTACCTAGTCAGACTTCCTCACCTCGACACTCGCAAACACCATCACTTACACTCCTAACTTAATAGTGGCAGCCACAGTGTGTGCGTGAAGTTAGTCAGGTAAGTGTTTGGCTGCAAGTGAGCAGCCAGGTGGTTCCTCAGGTAACACGTGAAAGCCTTCACACACACACACACACACACACACACACACACACACACACACAGGTACCCGCACTTGATAAAGCACGTCAAGAAACTAGAGAAAGTACAAAGGTTTGCGACAAGGTTAGTTCCAGAGCTAAGGGGAATGTCCTATGAAGAAAGATTAAGGGAAATCGGCCTGACGACACTGGAAGACAGGAGGGTCAGGGGAGACATGATAACGACATATAAAATACTGCGTGGAAAAGACAAGGTGGACAAAGACAGGATGTTCCAGGGAGGGGACACAGAAACAAGAGGCCACAATTGGAAGTTGAAGACACAAATGAGTCAGAGAGATAGGAAGTATTTCTTCAGTCATAGAGTTGTAAGGCAGTGGAATAGCCTAGAAAATGACGTAGTGGAGGCAGGAACCATACACAGTTTTAAGACGAGGTTTGATAAAGCTCATGGAGCGGGGAGAGAGAGGGCCCAGTAGCAACCGGTGAAGAGGCGGGGCCAGGAGCTAAGACTCGACCCCTGCAACCACAAATAGGTGAGTACAGGTTTTACCAAATAATGCTTTAAAAATGCCTTGGAATTGGCTTCTCTGCACACAGCGTGAGAATATTATCATTTGGCATTCACTAAATTTCACACACAAATAGCAAACATTTGAGTGTATGAATAAGAGAGAGAGAGAGAGAGAGAGAGAGAGAGAGAGAGAGAGAGAGAGAGAGAGAGAGAGAGAGAGAGAGAGAGAGAGAGAGAGAGAGCGCACCTGTACAACCACTGTAATTAGACACATTCTGTCAACTTATTCAGTAGTGATGATTCTTGTATAACATTATTACAAGGAGGAAGCTATATGAATTTATTTAATCTACAATAAAAACACATCAACATTATCTACTTCTCGAAAAATGCAGCTATTGCAGTAACAAATGTTAACATATTTTAATACCATTAAAAACATTAACATTAATATATAAATACTGTATCACTGACTACAACAACCACACACTGAATAAACACTTAAGAACTCAACAGCACCACCAGTAGTCACATTAACACCATAATTGTATTAACACTAATTGCACCATTTACACTACTAAGTGCCTTAGAGACACACTGTATTATGCTACTGTATAAACACTGCTATTTGCACTAACTGCAACACTTAACATCAGTAAATGTCGCATAAATATCACTAAGTGGAGGATCAACACCTGTCCACCTGAGTTTCCCTGTCTTCCTGTTCCTCCCGTCTCGGAAACACAAGTCACAAATGAAATACGCATCTCAATTTTTTTTTAAGACACAGCAGAACCATTCCAGAGCATCAGTAAGTTAAGTCTGGAAAAGTTACTCGAGCAAAGTATATTTTAACACCTGTCCTGTTTCCAGACAAACCTTACCTAACCTAACCAAGCAAATTTACCATTAGAGACAGTTCCTCACGTTTCACGAAATTTCTCACGTTACATCACGCTATGCAAAATTTCTCTCCTTACATAAAGTTCAACATACTACGCAAGAAGCCTCGTTACGCAAAGCTCTTGGCGTATCGCTATACTGCAAATTCAAAATGACAAGAAAAAGGTTTTAGCTTCAACACAGATCTAAGATTTATCACAAGACAAGAGTCCAGTGAAAACAAACCTTAAAGAATATAGCATGATATAGCAGTGTAGAAGAAAGCACATGACAAAGCTGGACAAAGGCACGGGAACCTTAAGGCAGAAGACACAGTATATTTTAAACAATGTAGAAGAAACTACACGATAAAGCTATACAGAAGACAGAATGAATGGTAGATTAAGACAGAAAGCACAGTGTATAATTAAGCAGTGTAGAAGAAAGTATAGTAAATAATATACCTAAACAGAAGGAAAGGTGGTAAATACAACTATACAAGACATACAGCATGATTAAGCACAAATCACAGTAACTTAAAATTCTTGGAGTTACTGAGTGCTGATCTAGTGGGAAGTATGTATCTTTATTAATTATGTTGATAATGAGTCTACTTATATTTCTGATCACATTCTTCCCTCAGTAAAATGCGAACCCATATTGTTGATCAGTTAGGTATATCTATAGTTGGTTTTCCAGAGATCATCGTCCTGGACTTTGACCATGCCTGGTTGCTAAGTGTTCAGGCACACTCGTGATATACCTGTGACCAGTTTCAACAGTCTTACTACCCTCGCAGCTCAGTGTAGGATCAGGTTTTTCAATTGGCACCAAACTAGAGATTGCTCAGCCCTGATCTTCAGCAACACATCTCTCAATTTCAGAGTCAGAGATGGTCCTGTTAATAAGCATTCATTCAAGAATAGCTCTTAGGGACTGGCTTCCAAACTAGAGTTAAAGACTACTTTAGTGTCTCCCTCGTCATGCCTTGACTTCCCTGAGTGACAACTACGAGAGAGAACTGGAAACTGAGGTGAACAGTGCTAGCAGCATCCTGGCGCTACTGCCACACTTCACCAGCGCTAACCACCATCTTGGGAATTTCGTAAAAGAGTTCTTCTCCTCACACGCCCACAGCCACACCCGCAATCAAACCCATCCATTGTTATGTGAACACCTCGTAACGTCATGTATCGCTGCCGATATCTTAAAACTGATTTCATGCTAACACTTTTTTTTTACAATAAATATATAGCCAGTTATAAATCCGTGAAAAAAACGTTAAAATTCTGTGACTCGTAATTACTGTTCTTGTAACTGTTTCTCTCCGTCAAGGTCGTCAGGCTCAGCTTCAACATTTTCTAACAGCGCATTCCTCTCAGCTCTGGGACCAGGCGTGTCCTCTCAGCTCCGGGACTAAGCGTGTCCTCTCAGCTCTGGGACCAGGCGTGTCCTCTCAGCTCCGGGACTAAGCGTGTCCTCTCAGCTCCGGGACTAAGCGTGTCCTCTCAGCTCCGGGACTAAGCGTGTCCTCTCAGCTCCGAGACTAAGCGGGTTGGTGGAACAGGTAAACACACACTTATTAGCTGCTTTTAATAAGACTTATTTGTACAATTACAGCTTAACAACATAACTAAAGTTTCCAAACAGCCATTTTGAAAACTTTAATAACCAAAAATAAAACTGTGTGTTACGATATAAAAAATACATAAATACCTACAAAGTGCTACTTATGTTTATTTCAAGAAATGTCTCACTCTATGAATTAATGATTATAGGTCAAATTTTTTTTTATTAAGCACTTAAACTAAATTTATATATATTCCCAACGAAGTGAATCGTGAATTCTAAAATATAGGATATTGTTAGACCTAAAACATGATGCCCAAAGCCTCTTCTCGACGTGATGTCTATCAGAAATAAAAAAAAATCTAACACCTGCAATATTGAGCCTGAATACATGGTCTAGTTCTAGTATATGGACGTAGCTGATGGTATAACGTCTTAAAACCTACTAGAAATTTTCGAAAACATTTTACTTTTCTAATTATGGCAGCCTAACAGTAAAAAAAATCAATTTTTACCACTGTTAATGACAAGAATCCTGGGATATTTAGATTTTTGTTTAAATTTCTCGTTTTTTTTTTCCCCTCTGAATAAATTAGACTGATATCCGAGTCACAATAAATGTCTCAGAACTCAAACTTCCTGAAATTTTTAGATCCAGAAATAAGTGGAAAACTGGCCCTAACTTTGTTAAGTTACCGGTCTGAATCAGCAATTACTCGTCCATCAATTCTGAAAAAAAAAAAAACTGATGGGAAGGGGAGCTCCAGCGAGCCTTGTAAAGTATTTCTTGTGCGTGTGTACATAAGCATGCGATGGCTCTGAGAAATGCATGCTCATACGTGCGTGCGTGCGTGCGTGTGTGTGTGTGTGTGTGTGTGTGTGTGTGTGTGTGTGTGTGTGTGTGTGTGTGTGTGTGTGTGTGTGTGTGTGTGTGTGTTTGTCTGGGAGGGGGTGTGGAGGGCAGTATATAAGGGAGAAAGTCCCGTTGATAGTCATCACAAGGTATCTTTCCAGCCGACCACCAGCGCCAATACTACAGCCGCTCTCCAGTCATGTTCAAGGTGAGACACAGGTGAAGGTGACACTACTAATACGCTATAAAGGTGGGATGACGGTACTGTCATGCACTACAGATGGTGGTGACAGTACTATCACACTCTACAGATGGGGTGACAGTACTACCACGATCAACAGGTGGGGTGACAGTACTATCACGCTCTACAGATGGGGTGACAGTACTACCACGATCAACAGGTGGGGTGACAGTACTATCACGGTCTACAGGTGGGGTGACACAGTACTATCACGCTCTACAGATGGGGGTGACACAGTACTATCATGCTCTACAGGTGGGGTGACATTGTACTATCACGCTCTACAGATGGAATGACAGTACTATCACGCTCTACAGGTGGGGTGACAGTACTATCACGCTCTACAGGTGTGGTGACAGTACTATCACGCTCTACAGGTGTGGTAACAGTACTATAACGGTCTACAGGTGGAGTGACAGTACTATCACGGGTCATCAGGTGGGGTGACAGTACTATCACGGTCTACAGGTGGGGTGACATAGCACTATTACGGTCTACAGGTGGAGGTGACATTACTATCAGGCTCTGCAGATCTGGATGCCACCACTTTTCCATCACTAACACTGTAGAGGTGAATGTAACGTATCTGTCAGCTAGAGGTTAACAATAAGTGGCATTACTATTTATCCAGTAAGAGGTACTGTGCCACTCACCATCACCTTCGTGGTGGTGAAACATTATCATCACATTGCACTTCGTGCGTGTGAAGACGGTGCAATAAATAATCCTCTTCTGTATAGGGAAAGTGAGGTACTGAACCATACTATCACGCTGTATAGGGGAAGGTGAGGTACTGTACCTAACCTATGAAGTTGTATGGGAGAAGGTGAGATACTGCACCTTACTTATCACGTCATAAAGAGGAAACTGATAGCACATTTATACTCTTCACATCACGATAAATATTTGTTAGAACAATAAGTGTATTAACAACATTCCGTGCAGGACATGTAATAAAAATCCTTTATAATTTTTGGTTTCATTATTTAATATTTAACAGCTTATTTACATAAAACATAAAACTCGGTAAAAATCTGATGTTAAATGCCAGGTAATTCATTTTATTTTACGGCTGAAAGAAAAAAAAAGTGGTCACCTATAAATTCCTCCAATCCAAAGAACCCAGTCCTATGAAATTTGCAATTTCATAAATACGTTAGATAAATAATTCTATTTTATATTACGTGTAGCTGTACCACTGAACTGCAAAGCTAAAATGAAAATATACCGCTGTACTGTAAAGTTTAAACTAGTAAGTTCGCTGCAAGGTTCAGAATGAGTTTAAAAAAAAAAAAAGGCTGTTAACCTTAAAACAATCTATAATTTTTTGAGAGACTGGTCAATTATCTTATCCCCCCCCCCCAAAAAAAAAAAGTGGACCATGAAACTTTTAGCGTCAGCTTGAACACGATGTTGCTACTTCATTATCCATTACAACTTCAACCTGACGACAGGGAGGGAATCAAAAACAAATGCATGTATTACAGGAGGGATATATAACGAACTATAAATCACACAGAACTTTAGATTGTATTAAGACTTTAAACACGGACTCCACAATGCGTAAATTATCTTATAGACATTTTCAACAATAAATTAAACTTTCAGATTTCAATATATTTAAATATGGATTTTTGTTTCTTAAATATTATTAATTTAAGTATCTGTTGGATTCATCTTAACTGCTCTCCATATAAAAAAGAATAAGTCACAATACCATAGTTGGAACAATTCACAAAACACACACCTGGAGATGAACTTTCAAAACACATTTCAAACCGTCGCAACACTTTGAGACTTGATAATGACCCAGGATGGATCAAAACATTCACTATATTTTCTTCTATATATCTACAACTTGTATTAGTCCATTAAGCTGCTACTAACGATGTGTATACAGGAACGCAAAATAAAATTTGAGGTTCTACGCAAGTTACCTATTTATCTATAACTTTGACAGGTTGCGTGTGCAGCAGTTACTGTGGGCGTGATGGTGGGAGTAGTGATGAGCATCCCTCTCCCTGAAGCCCCGGCTGTCTATGGCTCGCCCTCGTACCCAGCACCACAAGCTCCGGTACAATATAAAGAGGTAAGCACTCCGCACCTTGAAGATTAAAACACATGTGCAACAGTTGGGTATCTTCATTGATAAAACGTTTCGCCTAAACAGTAGGCTTCTTCCGTCAAATACAATGGGAACAGTAGAAATGAAATAAAGATGATGTCATCAGTCCCTCAGCTTTGGAGAAAAAGTATTTGAGGTGGTCAGTCCCTCTAGACCATGGAACTGAACTCTTCTCCCGGCTGAGGGACTTACTACCTCAAATACTTTTCTCCAAATCTGAGGGACTTATTACATCTTTATTTCATTACTACTGCTGCCTTTGTATCTGACCGAAGAAGCCTACTGTGTAGACGAAACCTTTCATCAATAAAGATACTCAACTGTTGCACACGTCTTAATCTTCAACTTGTCGGTATCTTACACCATTTTCAACACTCCACACATTATAAAACTAATGTTCTCCACACACTATAATAAGCATGTACTCCAAAACTTTTAAGTGTGCACTCCACATTCTATAAAGATAAATGCGCTCTGCGAGGAGTTTGAGACACTGGTACTTGTTACTCGTGTCAGGGTTCCAATAGCTCTTAGCCTATAAATTCGTGTAAACAAAAAAAAATGCTTTATAGCAGACCAGATCTTGATATATGACTGTTCAACCAGGCTGTTTGTGCTCGTTGCAAACAATGCAACCTTAATACCACAGCCTGACTCTCGTCTTGAAAACTTTTAGGGGTGTATTGCTATAAGAGAAAGTTGGGAGAGAGCAATGCCAAATGAACATTTTAGCTGACGTTTTATCCTCCTGCAGGAACCAAAGCCATACGCTTTCGACTACGGAGTCCAAGACAGCTACACTGGCGCCAACTTCGGCCACAGTGAGAACTCTGACGGGAAGGCTGTGAAGGGCTCTTACACGGTGGCTCTCCCTGACGGCCGCATCCAGACTGTCAACTACATCGCTGACGGCTACAACGGTTTCCAAGCTGAGGTCACCTACGAGGGTCAGGCCGTCTACCCTGAGCATAAGCCAGCCGCCTACAAGCCTGCTCCTGTCTACCCTCAGCCTGCTCCTGTATACCCTCAACCCTCTCCTTCTCCCTATGCGTAGCCCTTTCCCCTCCCCTAGCCTAATGCCTCCCCAGGATTAAAGCCCCCTCCCCCGTCATAATGTAGACTCTCCTTCCTTTTCCAAAACTTCCAAACAAAAATATTTACCAAGCCCATTCTTGTATGCAAAGACTCCCCAACCCGTTCCTTCTCTTTGGCGTCAATATCAGCAACTGTGAATTTTTAACCTCATTTTTTTTAATGTAAATGTTTTTTTGTAGGATAGTTTTGTACGTTTTTGCAACTAAAATATTTACCAGTTGGCAAGTCCATGTCAGAAATCATCCCTCACTCGAGGAACATCATCCATTAATATTTTTTTTACTCCATTCTCGTTAGCTCATTTCTAATTCCGTCCTTAACATATCCCAATTCCCATCCCGACCCTAAAGTCCTTCCTTAATCCCGACCCTGAAGTCCTTCTCTAACATACTGCCATACACTCCATTATCCCGTCACCGACCCATCCTGTCTCACGTCCCGTTAATGTACTCTCTCCCTCTACCTTTCAACCTCCTTCCTGTCCCTGCCTCATTCACAGTCTTTCCTTGGATACTCCAACAATTAAGACCCTCTAGCTAGTCAGCCACGGCGGTAAATGATAGTGTTTCCATCACCTGTTAATTTCCTGATAATAAAAAAATCAATAACATGATGAGTGATCATTTTCCAAGTATCATCCCACTCCGAGATTTCTACTATGTCTTACGGTTTTCCCTCTTGTATGATTCTTAAATATCTGGTTGACTTCAGATACTTGAGAAGCGCCATTCTTTATTCCTAGTATTTTTAATGACTGATCTAGCAACCATTAAGTACCTGACTGTACTTTCCTATGTCTAACAATGGTCGGTAGCAAAACAACTTCACCAGTTCGACAAAACTCTCGTATCATCATTTGGTCAGGAATGTGTTCTCCAGAGAGTCCTTGACAACTGTACTACAAGATGAAGTTCTTCCATGCAAACTCTACAGTATGACGTTGCTCTAGCCCCTTCATGTATTTGTGTTGTGCTTATCTCCTGTCGTCTACAGGGCTGATGATGGAGGATCCACGTTTTGTAGTGTTTTCCTTATCTCCTCCACTGTTAAAAAGTGCTGATCTCTGATGCAGCCTAATTTCTTTTGCTATTAAGAAGAACTGATCTGAATTTTTGGCACACCCGTAACTCCAGGCAAGTCTTAGTAGTGTAAAACACTGAATTTGCACCAGGACATATTTGGTTAGTTATTTTAAATAGAGCGCAGAGTACCTAACTAAAGGGGAGAGAGAGACTGACAGCCACACACAGCCCGGAAAATTTCTTGTGGGTTGCAACTTTGCCAAGGGACTGAGAATATGTTGTGAGTATTTAAAAGTCCCAGAGATTTTCCTCTTGTCACCCCCCTTTCGCCGTCCAATTTCCCCCCCCCACCCCAATAATACTGCCCCATTTTTGTACTGAGATATATTATTTTCAGTGTGGTAGTGGTAACGAAGTTTAGAAAATCTTTCTTGGAGAATATATATATACTTTCGTACGCATTCGGCAAATGATAAATTTCATAACACTTTTTCCTTATCTTCGTCCCCAAAATTTCTCTTGGTCATAATCTCCTCTTTGATCCGTTTATTAGATTAAAATTATTATATATGTTGAAATGAGAAGAGTGGTTGATTCAGTGATTCGTGGACAGCATTGAACTGGTGTAGTGGTTAACTCATGAATCAGACGAAGGTAAATACTCTGCTGTCATCGGTCGATTCATAGAGATCGCTAAGGTCCAGCGAGACAGCAGATACAAGGGCTCAAAATGACATCATTTACACATTTATTTGGAATAAAAAAAACTACCCAAAGTGTTAGCTTGGATTCATTAACTAAGAAGAAGATCACAATGAAGCAGCATACAACAATGAATGCCAAGGACGTAGTATAAACTAGAGGTAAATATCACGAACTTTATTTAAATGTACCTCTTTACAACACAACATTTGGAGGTCACAAAAACATGATCACGTGCTTAAAAGTCAGTCAAATGCAAGCATGCATGTATGATTGCCTCCTTCCCTCCCTCTCTCTCTAAGTCAGTGAAGAACACAGACTACCTACATTCACGACTGGCACATCACCCCGAGCGGGAATACTACAGTGGCAATAACCACATCTCTTCAAATTACAGCCCAGTGTGTAATGCAATATTGTGAAAAACTTATCCATTCTTTATTGTATGAATTACTTTTTAAATACAGATACTTGTATGAATTACTTTTAAATACACTTGTATGCAGTACTTTTAAATACAAAGATTTGTTATGCACTTGAACGCTCATCACACTATTGTCACTCTTCCCACTCCTCCTTCCTCATGATTCCCTTCCCAACCTCCTCTTACACTTTTGACACTCCCCCATCCTTTCCTCCCCAACTCATTCTCCCTACTATTCATCACTATCTCCCAGTCCCACTCCCTATTGTTATTTCTCATCATTTCCTACACCTCTCCCTACTGTTCTTCATCACTCTCTCTCCCCACCTCTCCCTCTTGTTCTTCCTCATCATTCCCTCCCCAACCTGCCCTCCCCCCAACTGTGTCAGCACCTCCATTATACAAGCACTCACGTCCATCCAACTCCTTCATTACCAAGCAAACGACAGCTCCTCTGCACCTACATCACATGAAGAACGTCGACATGCAGGAGGCGGAGGAGGAAGAGAGGAGAGGGAGCCAGCGGAAGAGGAGGAGGGGGGAGAGGAGCTGCAGCACACGGGAAGGTCAGGCTGCAGAGATCTTGGTAGTCTACACCGTGACTATCTGATGGGAATTATCAATGTTCACTTAGATTATAAACTATCATTAATTATCTAGGTGTATGTGAGGCAAAGACAAAGCCAAGAGTAGGGGAAGAGGAAGAGGAGGTAGGGAAGGGGTCAGAAGAAGAGGAAAAAGGAAAAGGAGGAATAGGAAGGAGAGTATTATTATCATTATATTCCCTGGTGAGCACTAAACCATTATGGATCATTCAGCACATGAACGAGATTTAGTCAGATTTGATTCCTTATAAGTATATTTATAGAAAGCAGAAAAACAACGATAGCGATAATAAAAGGGGGGAAAAAAAAAACTCAGAAATAAGGAGGAAAAATGAAAAATAAAAAGCTAGAGGGAGAATGAAAAAGACAACTTTAAAGGAAAACACTAAAATATTGAAGTCAAATTTCGGAGAAGGTTATGGCGGGCGCCACGGAAGATGATGGCCCCGTCACACCTCCTGAGGGAAAAAAAATGATAGGTGACTCTTGCATCTCCTTTAAGATTCCAGACACCTCCCTCCCCGCGAGACTTCCTCCATGACACAAACTAAAAGCTCAACTTCAAACAAATTTGCCCTTTATACATGAATTTATTTAATCACACACACAGTGTCTTCCATTGCAAACACTGCAAAGCTCCAGGCGGACATCAACCAAATCTTTCAGTGGGCTGCAGAAAACAATATGAAGTTCAACGATGAGAAATTTCAATTACTCAGATATGGTAAACATGAGGAAATTAAATCTTCATCAGAGTACAAAACAAATTCTGGCCACAAAATAGAGCGAAACACCAACGTCAAAGACCTGGGAGTGATCATGTCGGAGGATCTCACCTTCAAGGACCATAACATTGTATCAATCGCATCTGCTAGAAAAATGACAGGATGGATAATGAGAACCTTCAAAACTAGGGAGGCCAAGCCCATGATGACACTCTTCAGGTCACTTGTTCTATCTAGGCTGGAATATTGCTGCACACTAACAGCACTTTTCAAGGCAGGTGAAATTGCCGACCTAGAAAATGTACAGAGAACTTTCACGGCGCGCATAACGGAGATAAAACACCTCAATTATTGGGAGCGCTTGAGGTTCCTAAACCTGTATTCCCTGGAACGCAGGAGGGAGAGATACATGATTATATACACCTGAAAAATCCTAGAGGGACTAGTACCGAACTTGCACACGAAAATCACTCACTACGAAAGCAAAAGACTTGGCAGAACGATGCACCATCCCCCAATGAAAAGCAGGGGTGTCACTAGCACGTTAAGAGACCATACAATAAGTGTCAGGGGCCCGAGACTGTTCAACTGCCTCCCAGCACACATAAGGGGGATTACCAACAGACCCCTGGCAGTCTTCAAGCTGGCACTGGACAAGCACCTAAAGTCAGTTCCGGATCAGCCGGGCTGTGGCTCGTACGTTGGTTTGTGTGCAGCCAGCAGCAACAGCCTGGTTGATCAGGCTCTGATCCACCAGGAGCCTGGTCACAGACCGGGCCGCGGGGGCGTTGACCCCCGGAACTCTCTCCAGGTAAACACACACACACACACACACACACACACACACACACACACACACACACACACACACACACACACACACACACACAGGAGATCTTAATGCAGAACAAGCCACAAGAGGGCGAAAGCTCTAACGCTAAAGATTTACATCTCCATGCGGATTGTTCTGCTTATAATATATCTATATATATAATATTATCAATATATAAGCTATATATATATATATATATATATATATATATATATATATATATATATATATATATATATATATATATATATATATATATATATAATATATATATATATCGTGAAGAATACGTAAAACTTACGATTTTGGCTTAAACAGCAACGCACTTCTTGCCGAACATGGCAAGCAAAAATAATTCTGAACCTAACGATAAAAATATATTTCATTGTGTTTATTGCTAAATTATTGTAAACTTATCTAAAGTATATTTAGTTGGATTAGGCTAAATTAAAGTGCGCCTGTTATAATAAGGTTAGGAAAGTTTTCTAAGGTTCTTTTGGTATAAAATTATTAATTTTTACATTAACATAAATGAAATACACACACACACACACACACACATATATATATATATATATATATATATTATATATATATATATATATATATATATATATATATGTTTCTGTATGCCATATACTGACGAAATACAAATACAGTATTTATCTCAAAATAGCCTATCCGAATATCCCTCAGTTTTCTGTAGTGCAACTCCAAGCTCCTACAACAGAAAACGAGGTGTAGTTTAGTTTCACTTTAGTTCTTAATACATTGTTACACAAGAGAAAACGTCAACCATAAAAACCTGGCAAACGATACTCTTCTCAAATGGAGGTGCTCAGATGACAGTGAGGAGGGGAGGGGGTGTCTTGATCCTAGGAAGTGCACTTATCATCTCTGGATTGAATCTGATTGCCCATAGCTCCTATGCCCTGTATGACCCCCAAATTATAGTAATGACAGGAAAACCATGTTAATTTGTTCACTATAACACTATCATGTTACAGTAAATCCTCCATACAACAGACCTCTATATAAAGGTGTAGAGAGGCTAAAACCAAGTGCTCTAGAGAATTTAAGACGCACAGAAGGCAAAGGACCCAGGAGAACAAGGACAGTAGTTTGAAAAGCAAAAATGAATATACACAGGTAAGGAGGGAGGCCCAACGACAATAAATATGGAATAAGATCTGCTAGGTCAGTTAATTTTGAAAAGCAGTGGTTTGGTAATAGAGTTGTGGATAAGTGGAACAAGCTCCCGAATAACGTCATTGAAACTAGAACGGTGTGTAGTTTGAAATATAG